AGCAGGTCCGAGCTGTAATGGTGCAGCTCTATTCTGGAAAAGGGGGCGGGGAGCAGCAGCTCATTTGCATTTAAAGAGACAGGCACGAAAAACAGCGTGTTTCTGCTTCCACTCAAAATAGGCATTTCCAAAATGATATAATAAATTATCTGTGGAGTATTTTGAGCCTTTTAAAAGTCGCTTTTAGATCTCTTTTTGTGCTGTATTATCACTAAACCTTGGACTTTCTATTGATCAGCACAGGTTGTGTGTTTCTTACATGAACTGATTGATCGTACACCTCACTGATCTGAGCTCATGCACCTCAGTTTCACAGCCAAAAAGCTTTATTTGTGGATAAATTTGGCTCATAAACTGAGGAGCAATGAGGCCTACGATCACTCAGTTCATGTAAGAAACACAAAACCTGTGCTGAATGGAAGAAAACAAGCTGACGAAAAGATGGAATCCAAGGTTTGGTGATAATGAGAGATTTACAAGCCAGGTTTAGGCTGGTCATTTTTGACTAGAAACACCACAAGTGCAACAATGTGCCGTGACTCAAATGAGCAATCATTTACCTTCTTCTAAGTTGGTTTGGTGGATCATATAATAATTTTATTGCCAAAAAAGTAAATCTAACAGACATGTCCACTGGTCTGAGAGATGAAACTGTGTAAAATAAATATAGTGTGTTTTATGGCTCTGACTGAGTTAGTTTGAATTGCAGTGCTTATGGTTTTCTGTAATTCTTTAAATAAACATGCAAATTTGGCTCTGCCATTGATTCTTTTATTTATAAAGCTCTTGTGTGAGAATGAGTGTTCATGAAAATGTTTTGTTAGATAATAGATGTTTATGCTGCTTATAAAGCACAAGTTTTTGGCAAAACCACAGTGTTTTGTCCTGAAGCTTTACTTTCTCAGCTTGTTCAGACACTTGCTTTTGCTCATCCACCATCAGACAATCAGTGCTGACATTATTTTGTTTTCCTGCATCATCTCCAGTTTTATTAGTCACATGACATTTTCATCTCTGGTGAGTTTGGCTCAATAAAGCCACTTAAAATGAAAATCAGTGAGACAATGAAGGGAATCCACTTCAGTGCATATGAAATATTCTTTTAAATGCACATACGTCTTTAAAAATTCCATGCTTCCATATTGCACTCTTTTGAAATGTATAATTTTACATGTGATGTTATAAGTTCTGACCACGTTTTTCCAGGTGGTGTTGCTTTGATGTTTTTCATTTTTGAATGCAGGCATGCACAGTTTGCTTGAGTCACAAATAAAAGTAGTTATAATAGTAAGAATATAACTGCATGCAACAATTAAGTGGCCCAGCACTACAAATGATGAGCAAGCAAGGCAGTGAGTATCAGACCAACTGCAAAAATGAGTAATTAAGGACATTTTAAGATTATTTTAGTCCAAATGGCTATAAATACAAACACTAGTGATACGATTTAATGGTTTACTACTTCTGACCAATAGGTGGCGCTGTTACCAAATTGATGTGCTGAGGTGAGTGTGAGGCACAAAATGCATAACTTTTTGCTGGCATGGTCTGAAGATGTGAGTCAAATTTGATGAAAATCAGACCACTGATGTAGGATGAGTCCGGAAAAAATATGTTTTCTAGATCATTCAAAATTGCGAAAAGAGTTTGTTTCTAGACCTTAAGGTTCAGAAGTTATTAGCATAAACACGAGTGCAAATTTGAGCTGTTGGTGGCGCTAGAGGGTTTGAGTTAGAGACCTCAAACTGACGGTGGTTAATGTCGAGACTGTCCTCTATCAGTGTGCCAAATTTCATAACTTTCCCGCAAGAGGTTCTATGGGCTTCCATAGACTCCTGAACAGAAGAAGAAAACGAACAGATACGCTCCTTTGGTGATTGGCCTCTAATAATTAAAATGAGCAATAATAAATAGACAGACATACAGACACAAACTTCCGTCTGCTTGTTTCTTTAGTAAGGCAGGCAGCTTATCACAGACTCATGATTGTGTGGTGGTGTGGTAGTATTTCTCCCGAATGCGTAAGTATTTTGTAGACCATAATATTCTGTCAGAAAATGCAGATCCGTCGGGGTTTTATTTTGATGGTCGTGTGGACACAACCTCACTTCCTGCGGTGGCCATGATTTCCTGCAACAGGAAGAAGGCTTGTGTTCAGATTGATTGTAAACATCATTGATCTGAGTTTATGCTCTTCAGTTTATGAGCAAAACATTATTTTCAAATAAAGCTTTTTCACTCAAAAACTGAGTATAAACTCAGATCCAAAAACACAAAACCTGTGCTAAATGAAATCTTGTGAAAGGATTGAGTCCAAGATTTGTTGATAATAAACCATAACTGGAAATTTATAAGCAATTTTTTGGAGGTCGGTCATTTTTTTTTATTTTTTATTTTATCTGGATCTTATCTGTGTTCCTGTCCTCTCAGAATCTCTCTTTGAGGCTGCATTCACTCCGTTTGCACAGGATCCATTCACTTCATCTGACCTGACAGCCGGTGAGTGTGTGAGTGACTCTTAATATAATTTAATTTGTATTATTATGTACAAGACTAATTTGATCTGCAGTGTGTGATCATGAGTTGTGTTGTGTGTGTACAGGTTTGATTAGAATAGTCCTCAGAAGTGGGTTAAGTCTGACGAATCCACCTTTTGGGGACATTCTCATTTGATTTAAAAAGATGTTTGAATGCAGAACGTTTTCTGTTAGGGTTAGTGTTAGATTATATATATTTATATTATGTTATATTATATTATATCATGTTTATAACTAGCTGTACAGTATAAATATCTATGGAAGGTGCCCGAGTGTGTGTGTGTGTGTGTGTTAGAGAGAGAGAGTGAGAGAGAGAGAGTGTGTGTGTGTGTGTGTGTGAGAGAAAGAGAAAGAGAGAGTGTGTGTGTGAGTTTGTGTGTGTACTGACTGAATTGTTTTGTATTAATGATGTTCCTCATTTGTAAGTTGCATTAAAAGCTTCTGCTAAATGAGTAAATGTAAATATGTGAGCTACCTGAAGATTATGATGTGCATGTGTGTGTGTGTGTGTCAGCTGAGAGGATGCAGGTTCGAGTGCTGCTGATCCTGATACTGACATCAGTATTAATCACACAAGCTCAAGGTACGACTGTCTGTCTGTTGTATGTAACAAGTTGCTCAAATAGGTTCGACAGAATCTTATATTTTAAAATGAAATTAGGCTCAAATTATCAAATGCATGCAGAGTTACCCTTGGAAAATTGCAAATATATCTTACTATCCATACAGAAGTTCGAGGTGCACGCCATGCTTTCAGTGATGTCTTCTGTTTGTTTCAGATGAATTGAGACTTTTATTCCTGTATTTAAGCTTTGCACAACCCACACACTAATATCCCTGATTCACACACAACTGTGCCTAAGAAAAGCAGCTACTGAACCACTAGATGCAGTAAAGACTGTATGACTGATAGCAATACTGTTGCACTTCGGAAAATAAATAAAATGTAACTCATTCATTCATTTAAATCTGAATTTTGTAGACAAAAGTTGAAAGGCATTTGTTTGTGGGTTGTAAGATATTTTCACAACATTTATCAAGTTCATGGATAATTGTGCATGCATTTGATAATAATATATTAATAATTTCATCACATAATTTTATTTCAGTGTTTGCAATCTAGACTTGTGCACATGTAACCAGCAAGGCTTTCCATCATTGCATGTGCATTTTGGGATATCGAGTAAAAATGCTGGACAAAAATAAAAAGATGTGAATCAAATATCTGACCAATATTAAAATCTGTCTCTATAGTGGTCGTCTTCACATGTGAAACTCCAGCCATCGCTGATATCGTGTTTCTGGTCGATGGATCGTGGAGTATTGGTCGTAATAACTTTAATTTAATGCTGAACTTTCTGGGAATGTTTGTCAGGGCCTTCGCGGTTGGATCAGACCAAACACGCATTGGTACGTCTGGAGTGTTTTTAGTTCCAACACACGGAACATTTACATGCAGCTAGATCAACAGGAGAAGAACAGCAGTTTCACTGTGCTTGTGCTGTATTTAGTGTTCAGTATTGGATTAGATTCGCTGCGTTTGTGTGTGTGTGTGTGTGTTTGTGTGTGTTTGTGTGTGTTTGTGTGTGTTCAGGTTTGGTGCAGTACAGTGGGGATCCGCGGCTCGAGTGGCATCTGAACAATCACAGCACTAAAGAGGGTGTGATTGACGCCATGAGGAATCTGTCTTATAAAGGAGGAAACACACTCACAGGTACACACACACACGCTCTCTCACACTAACACACACACACACACACACACACACACAAATCTAAATGATTCTCACTGTAATGCATCTGTTTGTACATGTGTGTGTCTTTTCAGGTCTTGCTCTGACGTATATTCTGGAGAACAGCTTCAAAGCTGAATCTGGATCCAGACCTGACGTTCCTAAGATTGGGATTCTGATCACAGATGGGAAATCACAGGACGATGTTCTTTCTCCAGCTGAGAGACTCCGAGACGCTGGGATTGAGTTGTTTGCTATCGGTACCAGAACAAACCAGCTCTGACTCAGATACGGGTTTGTAAATGAATCGTTTTTTCTGACTGTGTGAATCTGCAGGAGTGAAGAACGCAGATGAGAATGAGCTGAGAGCCATCGCCTCCCCGCCGGAGGAAACACACGTGTATAACGCGGCTGATTTCAGCATGATGAGCTGCATCGTGGAGGGACTGACCAGGAGCGTCTGCGAGCGTGTCTCTGAACTCAGCGGTGGGTTTCTGAGATCTCAGGATTATTAGTTTATACTAGTCTGAGCTTGACCAGTGTACTTTCTGATAGACATTTTCTCCCTCTGATAAGACAAAATAACATTTAATTTCTAACATTTTCTTCAACAAACCTGCTCGTTTCAAAATATGTAGAAATGACCTAAATGTTACATGGTCCATGTTTACATTACAGTACAGTATTATTCATAAGTTTCCTCTTGTACAGATGGTAAGGTAATGAAATCAAAAGACTCAAATCTGTGTAGGTGTTTGGTTACAATTAATTGTTTTGATAACTGTAGAAATGTAGCAGATTTCTGTCTTATTCAGTTTTGTAATATGTTAATGTTATGACCTTGATCGCCTTCCCAGCTGTGTCTTGTTACCTTGTTCTCTTGTTAGCATCTCTATGTATATATAGCCCAGTGTTTTAGTCAGTATTTGTCAATTGTCGTCTTTGCTTGGATGTTTCCGTGGTTGTGTTTACTTTTTTCTCCCTGTGTTTGGATTATCTTTTTGAGTTTTTGGATTACTTATTGTTTTATTAATATACATCATTGCCTGCACTTGGATCCTGCCTCTCCTTTTCCCTGCATCGACCTGTTACAGAACGACTGACCACAATCATGGATCCAGCAGCAGATGATATTGTGCGTCTCCGTGAACGTGGCATTGAGGACTCTGTCCAGGAGTTTGTGGAACTAGCATGCTTGACTCATATAGATGAGGTATGACTAATGATATTTTCTCGGGGGGGATTGTCAGAGCCGCTCAGTATGTGTATGCCATTGTGGCATGCTGATTAGATGCTGGCTTATTATATTGACCTTGCACTGCAACTGAGCGGCTCTGCATTTACTTTGGGAGTCATGGAGGAGGAACACAGCATTCATGCAGTAACCCCCACGCCAGAGTCTCGTCCCATCATGGTCTTCAGCCATCATGGACGCCACACCATTGTTTCTAGCCACCATGAACATTGCTTCTGATGCTACTAAAGCAGTTCCTAGGTGATTGAGACTGATGTCTAGTTTAGCAGACCCACCAATGATGTCTGTGCGAGCAGCTGGCGTCCCGGTGGCCACTATGCTCTCAAGCCCGTGGCCTCAGCACTCTCTAGCCCGGCGGTCCACCCTGCGTCAGCTACACTGTCCGTGATTGCGGTTGCCATCTTGTGTGTGTGCGCCACACAATGCTCTCCAGATCCCCCAGAGGCGGCGACATATGCTCCAATCCATTAGTCAGCTCCAGAGCCAGCTCCAAGCCAAGAGTCCACTTCAGAGCCCGCTCCAGTCCTTGAGTCCACTCCAGAGCCAGGTCCATCCCTAGAGCTCAGTCCTGTGTTGGTGCCAGCCTGTGAGCTCCTTGCCCATCCTGTCTTGACCTGTCTTGAACCCCTTGTCTGCCCTGTCATGACCAAAGAGGCCATCACTAAATATCCTGCCTGTCCTGTTACAGCCAAGGAGGCCGTCTCTGAACCCTTTGTCTGTCCTGTCACAGCCACAATAGTAGTCCCTGAACTCTCTGCCTGTCCAGGCATGACCAAGGAGGCCGTCTCTGAACCCTTAGCCTGCCTTGACACGACCACGGAGGTCGTCCCTGAGTTTCCTATCTGTCCTGACACGACCACGAAGGTTGTTCTTGAATTGCTTGTCTGCCTTGACGCAACCACAGAGGTTGTTTATGAACTTTCTTTCAGCCCTGAGATTACCCCAGACGTCAACCTGGAACACCCTGTCGTCCTGTTATGACCTTGGAGGATGTCCTTGAGCTCCCTGTCAGTTTGACACAGCCCCTGAGGCCAACAATAAACTCTCTGTGGTTTATGTTCCAGTGCAGTCATATCTGCCCTGGGGGTCTTCAGCGACATGGTGGTTATCACCTCTGCCTGCTCCACCTTGGTGGTCCTCAGCTACGCCTTGGTGGCCTTCGGCCCTGCCTGCTCCGCGGTGGTGGTCTATGCTCCATCGTGGAGATCTTCAATCCCGTCTGCTCTGCTGTGGGGATCTTCAGTCCCATCAGCACCACCTTGGTGGTCTCCTGCCTTGTCTGCTCAGCCTTGGTGGTCGCCAGATCCTTCTGCTCTGCCGTGGAGATCTTAAGTCCCATCTGCTCTGCCCTGGTGGTCTTCGGCTCCACCTGAACTACCCTGGCTTCCTGCTCCACCCTGGTCACCAGCTCCTGCAGCTCCACCTTGGCTCCCTGTTCTTCCTCTGTCTGCAGGCCCACTTCCTCTCCATGGACCTGACCCTCCATCCCTCCCCTAGTTCTGCCTCCACTCCACCTCCCTCCTGGACTTAAGTTTATTTTTGTTTAGGAGCATCTGTTAGCCGCTCCTTAAGGGGGCGATTCTGTTATGAACTTAACCTGTGTTCCCCTGCCCTGTATTTGGACTTGTGTTACTTCATGTATAGTCATATTGTAGTCCTATTGTTTCTTTAGTCCTCTTGATTGCCTTCCCAGCTGTGTCTTGTTACCTTGTTCTCTTGTTAGCGTCTCTATGTATATATAGCCCAGTGTTTTAGTCAGTCTTTGTCCATCATTGTCTTGCTTGGATGTTTCTGTGGTTGTGTTTACATTGTTCTCCCTGTGTGTTGGATTATCTTTTTATGTTTTTGGATTACTTATTATTTTATTAATACACATCACTGCCTGCACTTGGATCCTGCCTCTCCTTTTCCTTGCATTGACCTGTTACAATTAAATTCTGAATTTGAGTTTATCAGTTTTGTAAAGAGCATGTAAACGAGCAAATTGGCCTGTAGGTTCATTGAGTTTTTTAGGTTTTGTGTCTGAGTGAGGAATGAATTTGTGTCATTTGAAAGATAATTTCATTGAAGGTATTCTTTGTGAAAGCAATGATAAATAATTCACAGTTTATCCTACATAGTTGCTGTTGTGCTTCACTGAGTTTTGAAAAAGTGACCCATGAATTGAGAAATGGAGCCTAGTGGTTGTAAAAAAAAACTCTCATATAGTTTCATCTCACATATTATGTTTATATTTGTAACCAGCAAGTAGCCAGGTTTTCATCAATACATTTTTGTGCATATTTTGTGATGCTGGATGAAAAAAAAAAATGCTGGACAAAAATACCAAGATGTGAATCAAATATCTGACCAATATTAAAATCTGTCTGTCTCTATAGTGGTCGTCTTCACATGTGAAACTCCAGCCATCGCTGATATCGTGTTTCTGGTCGATGGATCGTCGAGTATCAGCCGTTTGAACTTCAAAACTGTGAAGACCTTTCTGGGAATGTTTGTCAGGGCCTTCGAGGTTGGATCAGACCAAACACGCATTGGTACATCTGGGGTGTTTTTAGTTCCAACACACGGTACATTTACATGCAGCTAGATCAACAGGAGAAGAACGTCTCGGGTTACTTGACTGTAACCCTGTTCCCTGAAAAAGCGGGAACGAGATGCTGCGTTCAGTAACGCTTATGAGAACATTCTTTGTTCGGCCGGTTGTGAAGAATGTGTCAAACACGTCAAGAATTGACTTAAATAACCTCGGTAGGTGACGTCATTAATTACATGCACCTGAGAGGTTATAAATACACATGAAACGGACACATCCTCAGGTTCACCTTTGTCTGAAAGGACGTCCGGGCACGCCTACAGTGCGGCATTGAGGCGCAGCATCTCATTCCCGCTTTTTCAGGGAACAGGGTTACAGTCGTAACTCATGTTCACTATCGAAAGCTACTCTCGATGTTGCGTTCAATAACGCTTATGAGAACATTCTTTGTTCGACCGGTTGTGAAGAATGTGTGTCAAATAGAATTGGCTTAAATAACCTCGGTAGGTGACGTCATTAATTACATGCACCTGAGAGGTTATAAATACACATGAAACGGACACATCCTCAGGTTCACCTTTGTCTGAAAGGACGTCCGGGCACGCCTACAGTGCGGCATTGAGGCGCAGCATCTCATTCCCGCTTTTTCAGGGAACAGGGTTACAGTCAAGTAACCCGAGACGTTCCCTATCAAAAGCTACTCTCAATGCTGCGTTCAATAACGCTTATGGGAACGAGAATACCAACGCCACCGTACTGGAAGTGTCTGGACCCCCCCAATGTTGTGTAGTGTGTGCGCACAAGCATTGAAGAGGTCTCAGATATGACACTGGGATGTTGACTCAAGGACCCTTGAGCCCGGAGTAGCACGGACATCCAAACTATAGAATCTGACAAATGTGTGTGGAGAGGACCACCCTGCCGCATCACACACTTGCTGCAAGGGAACACCTCTTGCTAAAGCCGTAGAAGATGCAACCCCCCTGGTTGAATGGGCCCTAACTCCTAGAGGCGAAGCTTGACCACGCGCCTCGTAGGCTAGGGCAATAGCATCCCTCACCCAATGTGACATTGTTTTTCTCGTGGCAGCTGCCCCCCAGTTGTGGCCCCAATAGCATATGAAAAGCTGCTCCGACTTACACCACTGGCAAGTGCAATGGACGTAAATCTGAAGACCACATACTGGACACAGTAAGTGAAGTCTTTCCTGCTCCGATGTCATAAACGGTGGAGGGCAGAAGGCTTCAAGAAAAGCTGCTCCGACTTACGCCACTGGCTGGTGATGTGGATGTAAATCTGAAGAGCACGTACTGGACACAGTAAGTGAAGTCTTTCCTGCTCCGGTGTTGTGAACGGCAGAGGGCAGAAGGCTTCAAGAACGACCGGATGTATGGTTGAGAATGGAACTTTCGGAAGATAATTAGGGTGAGGATGCAAAATAGCTTTGACCAGCCCAGGGGCAAAGTCTAGGCAGTATGGCGAGACTGACAGAGCCTGCAAATCCACAATTCTCTTCAGAGAAGTAATAGCCATTAGAAAAAACATCTTTAGAGTCAGAAACCTGACAGGTGACAAGTGGTTCGAAAGGGGTGTCATTTCGAGGCAATTGATGTGCCAGCCGAGAAGATGACCTCTCCAGATCCCTTGGGCTGGACGGCCATCTAAGACCGCACCCCAGCCCATGAGGGAAGCGTCTGTCGTTAGCATCTTGCGATGACAACACGGTCCTAGAGCGGGACCCAGAATCAGAAACCGGGGTCTGAACCACATAGAAAGGTTATGAAGCCCCTGGCGCGTAACCCTTATTTGCCTCTAGGGATTGGCCCTTGGATGAAATCCCCTGGCTCTGAGCCACAACTGAAACGGTCTCATATGCAGGAGGCCCAAAGGTATCACCATGGATGCAGCTGCCATAAGACCTAGAACCCTTTGAAAGTGATGAACTGTAACTTTCTGGCCTAGCCTAATGTTCTTTAGGGTGTTTAGAATGGATTCTATGCGTGCAGGAGACAGCTGTGCCCGCATCGTGATCGAATTCCATACAACCCCCAAATACGTTGTCCTCTGAGCAGGAGAGAGAACGCTTTTCTTGGTGTTGAGTCTCAACCCCAGAGATTCGAGATGAGCTAGGACGACATACCGATGTCGAAGTGCTAGCTCCCGAAACTGAGTCAAAATCAGCCAGTCGTCTATGTAATTTAAAATGCGGATGCCCTGGAGTCGTAGAGGAGCCAGAGCTGCATCCATGCATTTTGTGTATGTGCGGGGTGATAAGGCTAGGCCGAACGGAAGAACCCGATTCTAATTCTTCGCCCCCGAAAGCGAACCTCAGGAACTTCCTATGTTGTGGCAAGATCTCTATGTGGAAGTACGCATCCTTGAGATCCTGATTGTCAACATTTTGAACTTGTATGTTCTGAGGTAGCGGTTCAACCTGCGAAGATGTAAAATTGAACGCAACCCCCATCTTTCTTGTGAACCAGAAAATACCGGCTGTAATAGCCTGACTCTCTGTCTGGCAGGGGAACACATTCTATGGCCCCTTTGTCCAGCAGAGCTTGCAATTCCTGTGTCAACAAATGCGCTCGTTCTGGCTTCACGGAAGTGGAGACCACGCCGTTGAAACGCCGAGGACGATAAGCAAACTGAATCCTGTAGCCTTTCCCTACAGTCCTTTCTACCCATGGAGAGATATTTCGCAGTAGCTTCCATGCTGCCAATTTCTCTGAAAGGGGCACTAATTTTGACACGTAGCTTTGTTGGGGGGATGTTAGATGTCCGGCGTCCTGAAATGTGGCAGGAGATAACCGAACACATAAAATTTCGCTGGGTGGCCGACAGTCCCGATGATTGAGCACGCCAGGGGGGAAACCTCACGAACGCTTCTTCATAGCACTTCGCCTCCCGGAACCTACTGACGACTGTGTGTTGACAGAGTCGCTGAATAGGCCGGAAGGTGAGACGGGGGCATCAAGGAGGAACGGTCAGTCCCTCTCCTTGATGCCCGTGAGGTTGAGCCACAGGTGTCTCTCCGTGGAGACCATAGCAGCCATAGATCGGCCGATGGCACGGGCCGTCTGCTTAGTCGCATGGAGGGACAAATCTGTGGCCCGGCGAAGTTCTGAAAACGCCTAAGAACTGAATGCTCAAGTCATTCAGCAGGTCTGCCTGGTACGCCTGCAAAACCGCCATGGTGTGCAGGGCAGCACCAGCCTGAACCGCTGCTTGGAAAGCTTTCCCCACCAGTGAAGACGTTAGTCTACAAGGCTTCGTGGGGAGCATCGGTTTCTTTGAAGACAGTGAGCTCCCAGGGGAGAGATAGCCCGCAAGCGTCTCTTCCACCTGGGGCATCATCATGTAGCCCCGTGCCTTTGCATCCACGATGGTCGAATAAATCAATGTCGATGGCACAAAGACACAGGACGAATAGGGCTTACTCCATGAACGAGTTACCTCGTCATTGAGGTCGCCAAAGAAGGGGAGAGACCGTCGCTGAGGCCCCTCCCCCCGGCCACCTGACAGAAATCTGTCATCCAGCTTCGAGCGTTTGGGGGCCTCCTGCTCCTGCGGCCAGTCTATCTTTAACCTTTCGACTGCTCGAGTTACCACCTTGAGTAACTCCTCATACGCTTTATCATCACGAGAGGAGCACTCTGAGATGGAGCTCTCGATCTCCGCAGAAGCAAGAGATGAAGTATCCTCCGCCTGTTCTGAAGAAGTGCGGGGGCGCGCTTCAGAGCCGGGTGCGAGGACCTCGTGATCTGACGAGAGCGTGAGAGAAAGGGGCGTAACCGTCCCACGCGCCTCAGCCAGATCTACACGCGACCCCCAGGATCTTAACGAGGGAGCAGCGACTCGCTCGTCTCTAAAGAAAGCAAGCCGCACGCGAAGCACTTTGATTGGCAAAAGATCGCAGTGCTCGCATTCTCCCTCGAGCCTGAGGGCAGCGTGCACATCCCCCAAACATTCGAAGCAAAAATTATGCTGATCATTCTCCGAGATGAGCCTCTGACAAGCAGGCACGCATCTCTTCTCAGACACCGACATAATGATGGTAAGTAAAGTCTTTGTTTCTCTTTTTTTTTTTACTGTAATGCAGCAGGGAGAAACACTTCTTCTCACAAACACACACACACACAACACACAATACGGTCCTTGAAGACAAAGAAACCTGTATTTATAACCTCTCAGGTGCATGTAATTAATGACGTCACCTACCGAGGTTATTTAAGCCAATTCTTGGCGTGTTTGACACATTCTTCACAACCGGTCGAACAAAGAATGTTCTCATAAGCTTTATTGAATGCAGCATCGAGAGTAGCTTTTGATAGGGAACAGCAGTTTCACTGTGCTTGTGCTGTATTTAGTGTTCAGTATTGGATTAGATTCGCTGTGTTTGTGTGTGTTCTAGTATATATGGTTTATGAGTACACAAATGTGCTTAATGACATGGGTACAACAACATAAACATGGTTAATGAGGTTACACTTCCTGTGTCCCCAAAAACCAAAAGGCTTAAAAAAAACACACTAAAAGGTGCTTTTTGAAATTCAGAAATTGGCAGTAGTTTAGTGTGTAATAAAACTATTACACCTATGGAGAGTCCCTATAAACCACATATGCAAGAGTGTGTGTGTTCAGGTTTGGTGCTGTACGGCAAGGATTCATGGGTCGAGTGGCATCTGAACACTCACAGCACTAAAGAGGATGTGATCAACGCCATAAGGAATCTGCCTTATAAAGGAGGAAACACACTCAAAGGTACACACACACTCACACACACAAACACTTACTCAC